AGACAAAATGCAAGTGGAAGTTAGGTTTATTAGCATTTTGGTGAGAGTGCCTGGGCAAGACCTGAGCAGGTTCATGACTCATGGCAGAGGGGATCTCTTTTTATGGTCTCTTTCAATTGTAGGGGGAGAGCAAGGATAACCTTGCAAGCTAGGGTCCAGATTGGAATTGGGTTTCTCAGTAATGTAGGCCTATCAGGTAAGCCAGGTGGTGCCAGAGGGAGACCCAGAATGTGTTTCCCTTGTTGTAAAAGATTAAAGGGGGCTTTATCTTGGACCCTTTATTTTTTAAAATAATTATTTTATTTAACTTCATTTATAATGTTATTATTATTATTGTTTAATTTGGCCAGAGAGAAAGAGGGAAGGTGAGAAAGCAAGCCACCAGGTCTGAGACTCGAACTGTGGTCAGCCATGTGAGAGTCAGCATCTTTAACCACCATGCCACCTGCTGGCCCCTCTTCCTTCCTTCCTTCCTTCCTTCCTTCCTTCCTTCCTTCCTTCCTTCCTTCCTTTCTTTTTTTTTTAGATTTTTTGTATAGGGTGCTCACCAGATAGAGAAAGAGACAGAGACAGGCAGAGGAAAAGAGAGAAGTTACATCCTGGGGGATGGCCACACCATTCTCCTCTTGGCATTTTGCATACACATGCACACATGCACAGCATGATTTTCAGGCCACTGAGTTCAGATTTGATTGCGGCTGGCCATGTAGGAGTCCATTGCCTTGACTACTACGTTACCTGATGGTCCCAATCTTGGGCCCTTTCATTAGTTCCTTAGGTTACTTCTTTAAGTAAGGCTCGTCTTGTGCCCTTTATTAACCCATGTAAACGTATTTCATTATGAACTCTCCTCAGGATGTCTGGTAGGAGGCTTCCAAATAATTGTGCAGTTGATATTTTAGAGGAAGAGGCTCTATTTCAGGCTGAAGTTGTTCCACGAACTGCCTTTTCTAACTGAAGGTGAATTGATAGCATGTTAAACATTCAGTCCATCACTTATTGCCATCACATCTAAGTATTTATGGGGGAGGAAATGAATCTAAGAGGTACTAGAGTGATTTTTTTTCTTTTTTTCTTTCTTTTTTTTTTTTTTTTCTGCCACTGTTAGCTTGTCTTCTGATTACTAGTTTAGAGACCTTAAAATCTGGGCCAGCTTGGACCCTGTGATACTGCCTAGCATGTTAATTAACTAACATATGTTTTCTTTTACATATCTCTGTTTAAAAGGCAGGGGAGAAGAAAAGAAAAAATATATATAGTGGAAGAGAGACCAAAGTGGAATTCTGCAATAAGTTTTAATTGGGTACCTCCAGTATTCTGGGCATTGTTCCTGTTGCTGTAGATACAGCAGTGCACAAGATGGATGAGGAGTTGACGGAAGGAGGGGAAACAGAACAGATGAACTGTGTTGCTGTGAACACAGCAGGGGAAGAAGAGAAAGTTCTTTTAGAATGCAAAGTAGGGAACACACATAAACTGGAAAGTGACTTGGTTAGGGATGGGAAGGGGGAAAGAATTTAAGTCCTCAGAAAAGACATCACTTAGATTTTACATTTGACCCAAAATCTAGATGCACAAAGTTACTGTCCTTGTAAAAAGCTGGGAGAAAGTTCCAGGCAGAGGAAATAGCCATGGCAGTAACCTTCAGTTAGGAATGAACTTGGTGTGTACAAAAACCAGAAAGAAGGCATGTATGCCTGGAACTTTAGAAGAGACAAGTGGTTCAAGATGAAGTGGGTGGGGAAGGAAGGGGACTCAGGTCGTGAAAGGCCCTAAGGGCATTGGTGAAGATTTGGTTTTTATTTCTGAACACAGGGGAATTCGTTGGAGGGCTTTACATAGGGATAGCAATGCGATCTGAAAAGTATAAGGACAGTAGATTGTGGGGAGCACAAGCAAAAGGAGGGAGACCAGGTTGGAAGTACTGCAGAGGCTCACCTGAGAGACGACGGTGTCTTGGACCAGCATGATGGTGATAAGAGCTCAGGTCCTGTTGTGAGCAAGATTCTCTGACTTCCTAAATCCTTTTTTTTTTTTTTTTTTTTTTTTGCCAGAGGGCACATGCGCTCATCAGAGTCAGAAAGAGGAGATAGGAGAAAGCACCCCCAGTGGCACTTGGTCATAGCACAATCCCCTCTCCATTTCTCCATCCTGTCAGGATGTGGGGCATGTATGCACACACAGTTGGCATAATTTTCAAGCTCTGTGGGAGTGGGATTTGAACTGCTGTCAGCCATATAGGATCTGGCTCCTTTAATCAATAGGCTATCAGATAGACTCTCTGTATACTTATTTTAAAATTTATTTATTTTAATTTACATTTTATCACATCTTTACAGTACACATTTTTTTTCCAACACAAATACTATGCATTTCAGTCAAGACAAGGATATTACTATCTACGTTGTCATCAGCAAATAACTTCTCATTTTTTTGTCAATTAAGTATACTTTGACCTATTTTTTTCCCTTCCCCTTTCCCCTCCCTCCCTTCTATACTAAACTTTTTTTTTCACATTGTATTGATTCACAAAAGATCTTAAAGTATGAACAGTGCTTAAATCTAGTGACAAGTGCACTGTAATTTTCTTCTGAAACACTTTTTTCTCTCCATTCCCCCTTTTACTAAAGAGATGTATAAACTAACTTATTTGAAAAAAAAAAAAAGTTATGTTAATCTTAATTTGGCCTGTTATGCACAAAGCCCCATAAGAATTCAATTTCTGATGCAAGGCAATAGATACTATTGTATTATTGAATTTATGCAAATAACCATTCTGCCACAAAGTAAGAATGCTCACACATATTTTCCAATTGTAAAGGGATCAGGAAGGGAGAAAAGTTTATGTTTCAATTAAAAAAAAATTCTTGAACAAATTGCTGAACCCAACAGCTCAAAAGAATTCCTTGAATCTGGAAGACAAAGCTTAGAAGAAAATCAGTAATATTTTAGAAAAAAGTCATAGAATTCTATTTCACCAGTTCAGTCTCGGATAATCTCTCTTCTGTTGAATTTTCAGTGTTACTATGATCTGACCTTTCTGTTAACATTCAACTTTATTACTGATATTTCAGAATTTGTCTCTACCATTAAATTAGATTTTTTCTTCGTCATTTTTTGTTCTTATTTGTCGGTCTGTCTTTACCTACTTTCTGTATATTTATTCAGTGCAGTCTTTATTTAATCACCTTTACAGTTAAATAAAGTAACACTTTGAACTAGCATATAGTTCTATGATTTCCAGGGCCATTTTTCTTTTATTACTGAAATTTTTGACAGGTGCTGACTCTAAAACATCTGGTTTCTTTTTTCTTACTCATGTGTACCCAGTCTACCTAAATCTATAATGTGTTATTTGCCAAAGACTATTTATAGTTATTTATTAAAGTATGCTTTGTCTATCTTACTACAAAAGCATTACCACCAAAACTAAGACACAATATAAAGAAAAACAAACAAATATGATTCCACTGTCCAGGTAAACATTTTAGTTCAGCCTTTTTTTTTTGTTTTTTTTTTTTTCCCTCTGCACTGGCCTATTTATTTCCAACTGGCATTTTTTAAAGAAATAAAGTTTACAAACAGTATTCATAGAAGTCAGTGGCTGAATGGCTTACTTCATTTAATTTTCATAACTTTTTTTTTGGTGAGATATTTTGCTAGAGTGCATGTGTACTTGCCCGAGAGACAGAGACAAAAGTCGATCATAGCTTTCTTTAGAGGATAGAATCACTTTCTTATTTTCTTCACTTGAGCCACTGTTGTCATGAGGTGAAAAGCAATCTTCCCTTTAGGTGTTAATTATGTAACTTCAGTGTGCTTGGATTCTGTCTTCAGCCAACTTTGTAATATAATTATATCCTTAAAATACCTATGAAGCCTAAGTCATAGATAAGTATTAGAGTTGAGTTTTTTCTCTGTTTTGGCCTTGCTGTCTTATTAAAATTTTGGTAAGCTTTGGCGAAACTTGATAAGCTTTGTCAGGGCTTATCAAGCATTATAAATTAAATATTTTAGAGTTTGTTAATTAACTTTTAGATTGCTTCCATGGTTTCTGGTGATTTATTTTAGCTTATAGCAATAACTTCTAAATATTAAAAATGTTAGCGATATCTTCTGTGGTATTTTAGAGCTTACTTAGATTTTAGCTCTAAAAGTATATTCAGAAAAATAGAAATCCTTTTTGTAGGACCAGCAGTTGGCATAATGGCTATGTTGCTGGATTCCATGTACCCGACTGCGGTTTGAATCCAGGACTTGGTAGCTTAAACTCATGCCGGGTGCCTGTGTGTGCATGCCCAAGATCCTGAGAGAAAAATGGAGGAGAAGGGATTGCAGTGTGACCATCCCCCCGGGGAGTGATTTCTCACTTTCTGTCTCTCTCTCTTTCTGGCAAGCACACACACCCTGTAGCAAAAACCTCTCCAAAAAAAAAAAAAAAAAAGAAAAGAAAAGAAAAATTCTTTTTGTAATGTGTTTTTAATTATTTGTCAATATGATTATTTATTTATTTATTTAATTTGCCATAGGCCTCATATGCTCCCTAGAGAGAAATGGGTGAGGAAGGGGTTGAGAAACCAAGCCTTGAGCTCCGGGCTTCGAACTCTGGTCAGCCACTTAAGAGCCCAGCACCTTAACCACCATGCTACTTGCTGGACCCAGTAATGTGTTTTTTTGTTTTGTTTTGTTTTTATTTTAATTTTTTTATATCATACTTAATTACATATATCTTTACTATGTATAACATTTCTTTTTCTAGCACGATTACCATGCATATCAGTCAAGACAAAGACATTACTATATACATCATCAGCAGCAAATACCTTTTCAATTTTTTTGTCAATTAAGCATACTTTTTTTTTTTTTTCATTTTCTTCCCCTGTTCTCCCCTCTCCCTCCATTACCCACCCCCATATTACCTATCTCTAGTATCTACCAGTAATGTGTTTTCAATACAGGCTTAAATATAATGATGATTCTTGGTGATTTTTTTTTTTCAGACCTCAAAGGAAGATCTTCTGCAGGCTGATTTTGAAGGTGCTCTGAAGTTCTTCAGAGTTCAGCTTCCAAAGAGATATAGGGCAGAGGAAAATGCAAGAAGATTGATGGAGCAAGCTTGTAATATTAAGGTAAAATACATGAATTCGTCTGTGTGTATGAAATGCAGAATTACATGGTGAATTATGTAAAACTTTTTCTGTATGTTGCTGGGTTTTGACTGCGTTTAAGGTGGTATTATGTATGAACTAATCTCTCCCAGGTTTTTTAGCAGGCATGTATATGTTATGTAGTAGCTGTACCTTCTAGTAGAACATAGAATGAATGTCAGCAAGTCAGGATTCTGACAATAGGAAGGCAAGCGTTATCTTATAGGTGGGGTTCTAGAATAGACTGCTGTGATAGTGGTTTCCATGGCAGCAGTCTTAGTATTTAGCTTTTGCCATCTGTTTTAGGATTATTTCGGACAAAGCAAGAAAAGTTGGCTTTGGCAATCTTTGCTTTTCCCTAAGGGGCTTGGAAAGTTTGACTCTTGGTCTGCCCATTCCCATCCACAACTGCCAAATATCTATGGATACATTGGTTCATATCATGTGTTTGGTGAAACTAAACAAATTTTATAAGTTAATTTGAAATTGAAATTGTGATGAGGTGAGAGAGCACACTTAAAAGATTTGGAACCAACTTACCGATGTTAATTCTTTGTACTGCTGGGGTATACTAGGGGATCTTACCTAATGATGACATAAATGTGTTTGATTCCTTAACAAAGATCCCAGGTCTTATGGACCTTGCATTCTTAGAGGAGGAAACAGACAATAAACATTAACATAATAAAGAACTTAATATATTAGAAGGTGATAAAGTAACTATGAAAGTAAAATAACACTTAGGGAAAGATGAGGTGGATTAATGAGGGGAGGAAAGGTTGTGATGTTAGATAGTAAGGGTAGACCTCATGGAGAAGATGAAAGACACCAGGGGTAAATCATGAAACCGTCTAGGGGACCAGGCAGAGGCAGAGCCCTGAAGTTCAAAAGCCCTGAAGCTGGCTCATACTTGGTGAGTTTGAGGCACAGCATGGCCAGTGTAGCTGGAGTACAGTGAATGAAATGAGAGCAGTAGAAAGAAAGTTAAGGTGTTCATAAGGAGCCAGAAAATGTTGGTCATCGTAAGAATGTAGGCTTTACTTTGAGTGAAGTGGGGAACCTTTGTAGGGTTTTGAGTAAAGAAATGATATGATCTGACTGAGGTTTTTAGAGGATCACAGTGTTATTTTGTTAAGAAGTGATCACAGGAAGGTAAAAGGAGTAGGGAGGCCAGACAGGAGTAATCCTGTTGACAAGCGGTGATAGATTGAACTAGGGTGATAACAGTAGAAATGGAGATGGATTGGAAATGAAAATAGTTAGAACAGGATATTTTAGAAGAGAGAGATAAGGTTTCATGATATGTTAAATGTGGGAGTGAGAGGAAAAGAGTCAGTATGACCCTGCAGATTGTGAATTGAGTAGTTCGAGGAGGAGAGTTGCCATCACCTTATTAAGTTAATTATTTAAAGTGTCCTTCCACACAGACTTCTTCTATTTTTGTTTTTTTTCTTTTAAGAGGTTTTTGCTATAGGGTGCGTGCACTCGCCAGACAGACAGAGAGAGACAGAGAGACAGAAAGTGAGAAATCACCCGCCAGGGGGGATGGCCACACCGCAATCCCTTCTCCTCCATTCTCTTCTCGGGATCTTGGGCATGCACGCACACACACCCGGCGTGAGTTTAAGCCATCGGGTCCGGGACCAAACCACGGTTGACTACGTGGGAGTCCAGCGACATAGCCATTATGCTAACTGCTGGTCCCACATACAGACTTCTTTTAAAATTCTTATCCACTGATCCCTTTTTTTGGTATAGTATTTTTGCTTTTCACTTTAACCTATTTCTAAATGTTAGAAAGTACAATTCAGTAACAAGAGTAAATAACTGAGCAGAAAAAAAATTATATTGATTTTCAAATGAACTCTATATTGAAAAAGATCATTTTGCAAAGATATCAAGAAATATGGGCCTCTGAAGTCTTCCTCCTGAAATGCAAACTCTTTAAGCCTTAAAGACTGATGATTTTATTTTTCTGGTCCAAATGACTAAACCTAAGACACATTTGTCTGTAGACTTTTTTTTTTAAAGAATTATTTTATTAAACTTTATTTATATATTTATTTTTAATTTGACTAGAGAGGGACTGAGTGAGAGAGAGAAAAAAAGAGAGAATGAGAGAAAGTGAGAAAGCAAGCCGCTGGGTCTCGGACTCAAACTGTGGTCCGCTATGTGGGAGTCCAGCACCCTTAGCCACCACACTACCTGCCAGCCCCTGTCTGTAGACTTTGTTTTTTTTGTTTGTTTGTTTTCTTTTTTTTTTCTGTCTGTAGACTTTGAAAATGCAGATGCTTCTTGGTTTATGATGGGGTTATGTCCCAATAAACCTACTGAAATATGAAAATATCGTAAGTCATAAATGCATTGAATGCGCCTAATCTCATGAATGTCCTAGTGTGGCCTAGGTACCTTGAACATACTCAGGAGTCTCACATTAGCCTAGAGTTGGGCAAAATCACCTACCACAAAGTCTATTTGTTGTCTACTGGGTTGTCAGAAAAGTCAATGATGCATTTTTGTATAGAAAAACAAAAATATGTCTGACTTTTCTGACAACCCAATATAATAAAGTGTGGAATGCTGTACACAGGTGTTTTGCAGAAATGATGGGGTGCAAAAACGCAAAGCACAGTATCAAATGATGCTGGCAATACAGTACTCTGGCGTATCTATTGTTTACCCTCACGACAGTGTGGCTGGCCGTGATCTGGTGCTTACTGCCTCTGCCCAGTGTCAGAGAGATCATCGTGGGAATATGTTGAACCTTATTTCTGTAGCCCAGGAAAAGATCCAAACCCAAAATTTGAAGTACAGTTTCTATTTAATACAGACTGCTTTTGTACCTATTATAAAGTCAAAAAATTGTAATCTGAATTACTGTAAATTCTAGGAGAACATTTGTCTATTCCATTAGGGGTGTGCCTGATTGAATGTGGTAGCTGGTGCATTTGAATGGTAGACTTTAGCCAGATGATTGTTCTAGAGATGCCAGAGAAGACTGTGAACTGGGGGAATGGTATAGGAATTCATAAAATAAATCCTTCATTTGTAAAAAATAAAAGGGTAGAGAATTAAAAAGTATAAGTTAGGTAGAAAGTTAAATGCTTTAGGAACCAGCAGTTAGCGTAATGGCTATGTCGCTGGACTCCCATGTAGTCGTCCGTGATTTGTGTCCTGGACCCGGTGGCTTAAAACTCACGCCAGGCGCATGTGCGTGCGTGCCCAAGATCCCGAGAGGAGAATGGAGGAGAAGGGATTGTGGCGTGACCATCCCCCCTGGGGAGTGAGATTGCTCGCTTTCTGTCTCTATGTCTCTCTCTGTCTGTCTGGCAAGCACACGAGCCCTATAGTGAAAACTTCTCCAAAAAAAAAAAAAAATTATCATTAAGAATATATTTATCAAGGTACTTTATTAAATTAAAAATTAAAGTGCTTTCTTAAATTATGTTTTAAATACATAGATATTGTATTTTTCTGAAAAATATCAGATAACTTGTGGTTTATTGCTATTTTCACTTCAAGAAGGATCTGTATCTATAATGTCTTGGTTTTCCCATATGTGGTTCTTTCTGTCTCATGAGTGTGCATATATCAATAGATAATACTTGTTCACAGATGGATCCCCCAATGTAATTTATGAAGTTCCTCAAAGAATAGAGGGTAGTCAATAATTATCAACCCAGAAACATGGGATCTGAGAGATAAAGAAATGAAATATTAGAAAACAGGTTCAAACTGTGCTTTGAATGAACTGTGCTAGAATGAGAGGGCTATGTGCAACCAGAATGATTTATATGGAGATGAACAAATACGTACAAGTATTTTTTAAAAGGTTTTAGTAATGTTTTAATAATTTAAAAAATTTAATAACTTTAATCTTTCAAAGTCTTAATAGTTTCCTTGCTTTTTTATTTTTTGCATTATCCAAGGAGAGTGCCTTTTCCTTAGATATGTTAAACGGTATCCACAGGACAGTATTTTTATTTATAACACAGGAGTGTGGAGTGGGTGACGCTGAGGCAGATTTGAGGTGAAACTGAAAGAAGGAAGGGTTAAGTAGCATTTTATTCAGAAATTGACTAGATTGGAACACAGCTCTCGGAACCATTTGAACCTAGGCCTACACTTTGAAATTTTTTTCATATCAATACCTTGACCATACACGTATACATATATACTGACATATATATCTGAATACCCTTACAATGAATGTATGAGGCATTCTGTTATTTTCTATTCTGTTATATTGAATTCTACTTCATTTTGCTCTTCTTTCCTCCACCCCCTCAAAATCCCCAAACCAAAAGCCAGTCAAAACCAATTAACCAGTTTCCTAATAGTTTGCAGTTTAGAAAAACCAGTAAAGTCTGTCTCACTGTTCTACCAACCATCCCTTCCCCATTCTCATCTTCTGTAATCAGTGAGAGGCTGTGGACACTCAGGTGTTTTAGTGAATAAATGGGAGTGCAAGTGTGGGAGGGATGTGAGTCAGCATGCACCGTACAGCAATGTTTGCAGTAACTAGAAATTCTAGGACATGATGGCCTTATAGGCTGAGGCTCTGTTAGACAAAGCTTTCGTGGACAGAGGCAACGGAATACAGGCACGGAAAGGGCAGATATCTTGAACTCACAATTTCTTATTCACAGGTTGTTTAAAATTAAGTCTAGAATTTCTGTAAAAAGTAATAAATTCTTTAAAAATTTTAATGCTCATCAAGGTTAGTATTTGTGTATAATAATAAATTACAATAATATATTCAAATTAAATTTGAATACATTCAATACCAATAAATGAATCACTTCCTCTAAGGACCGGAGTGACCAGTAATTTTAGCAAACTGCCTGGTTTTAAGACAGATTTAGCCGTCACAGGTTACAATTAAAAAAAAGAAATTACTTGTATTAGCGGGGGCTAGCATGTGGTGTGTTGGTCAAGGCATTGGATTCTACATTGCAACTAATGTGGTTTAAGTCCCGGAC